TGTAGCATTCCGCTACTTGGAAATAATTCAGTCATCCTTATAATGTCAAAGCGAGAATTTCGTACGATTTTCTTTTACGAGTTTAAACTCGGCCGAAGCGGAGCCCAAACGGCTAGAAACATTAACCAAGTCTGGGGCGAGGGTTGTGTTAATGAGTGCACTGTGCAAAGGTGGTTTAAAAAATTTCGGGAGGGAGATTTCAGCCTTGAAGATGAAGAAGGTCGTGGAAGGCCTTCCTCTCTTAATGATGATGTTCTGCGATCAGTGGTGGAAGAAAACCCCAAAACAACTGTTCGAGAACTTGCAGAGCAACTCAAAGTCAGTAAAACGACCGTCGCTGACCACCTCAAGGCGATTGGAAAAGTGAAAAAACTCGAAAATTGGGTTCCACACTCATTAAACGATCGCCAAAAAAATCAGCGCTTTGATGTTTGTGCATCACTTCTTTGTCGAAACAAAAATGACCCATTTCTGGCCAGAATTGTTACATGTGACGAAAAGTGGATTCTGGACAGTGGCTCGACAAAGGAGAAGCTCCAATACATTTTCCAAAGCCCCCAACTCATCAAAAAAAGGTAATGGTTACGGTATGGTGGGCTTCATTTGGTTTAATACACTACAGCTTCTTAAATCCTGGCGAAACCATCAATGCTGAATCATACTGTAACCAAATTAATACCATGCATCAGAAATTGGCAGTAATGAAGCCCTCTTTGGTCAATCGGAAAGGGCCCATTTTGTTGCATGACAACGCTCGACCATATGTGTCACGTGTAACGTCACAAAAATTATTGGAGCTTGGCTATGAAACTTTGCCTCACCCACCCTACTCTCCGGACCTCTCGCCTACTGACTACCATTTTTTTAGACACCTGGACCACTACTTACAACACATAATATTCAAAAATCAAACGGAACTGGAAAATGCATTTATTGACTTTATCAATTCTAAAAATTCTGAATTCTACTCAGACGGAATTAATAAGTTACCAACACGTTGGGAGAAATGTATTGAGAGTATGGGAAATTATTTTGATTAAAGAACATTGCTTTAAAGTAACTAGTTTCTTTTTTTTTGTTTAATACCAAAATCCTGCATTATTTTCCGGACAACCCAATACGAGTCCTCAAATGAAACTGACAAATAAAAGTACATTAACTCATCTTTTCCCAGAAGGTGTAAACAATAATGACTAATTTGACATTGCTTTAAACCATAAGAGAGATAAAATAGAATTATCGAAATACTTATTTTACAACCCGATACCTAGAACATCGATGGCCATACTTAACATCAACAATAAAATTCTAATGTTCTTATATAAATAAGCATTAAAAGAAAACATCAATATTTCGATACCACCGAACCATCTCCGTTTTAACTAAACAGTCATCACATCTTCACTGTCTTTGGACTCGAATGGAGAAGGATGTTAATAAAATTGAAAATCTATTCAGAAGAAGAATAAAGAAAAGATGTAAAAAATATGTAGTATGGATGGGTAATTATATCTTCAGAAACCTGGCAGTTAATTGGGAAATTGGCAGACCCAAAGATTAAACTGTCTAAATAAAATAATTTATTTTAAAATTATGTTAAATAAATTCAAGGGTATCAAAATATTGCATACTGTTAAACTGAGCCCTAATAAATTTCAATTCAAAACGTCACTTCGGTTGTAGAAAAACCCAGAGGATTATATAATCGATACAGTTACGCAACGATTTAACCTTTAGCAAAATAATAGCAACTTAGTTTTTTTTGTAAAAAAAAGAAGATTTTCAACGCTTCTTTTTTCTTAAATTATTTGTTTACATTAAATTTTAGTTTTCGACATTTTTGTTCTGTCTTTATTGGCGGACGAGAACATTCTTCAAATGAAGTGATGATGAATGATCAGGTGATTTAAACGCATTCTCAGCGTACCAGAAAGTTAAAAAAGTTCAGATCGGTTGGAAAAGTTAGGCCCTTATTGTTATTTAATTCACGCCACTGGTTTCACTTCTTCCTAAAAAGGGTGGGCAGTTTCTTTTACACGATCCACTTAATACAAGTAGCAAATTATTCGTTTCGTCGTGTTACACCTGCACATTGAACTATATTATTGATTATTACATGGAGAATTGTTTAAATATCTTCCAGGTTGGCTTTGCAATAGAAGTAATAAACGAATTGAGTCTAATCGCTTCCGACTATATCTAATGGGAGAAAGTACGGTCCGATGAATACTGATGATCCACTAACAGGCCGGCATGAATAATTCGGCATAATGCAATAATCCGATAAGTTAAAAATGAACGGCATAAAATGAATAATAAGATAATGATTGTCCCCTGGTCGAATATTCCATGTGGAACTACAGCGACGACGGGTGGTATAATGTGGTTAAGGCTCGGGGTCCTGAAAAGGGGTACTTCGTGTCCTCATCCACGTCCCTTTCTCAATCCAGGTTCCTTCACTTTTTCCTGTGATCCCTCCCAACCCTTGGTTACCAGGGGGGTGTCCGGGCACAAAATTATGGTGTAGCTCAGAGGGCGTGGCAATCTCTCTAAAGCACAAGCTGTACTCGTGTCGGCCTCGGGTCGGCATGGGCGGCGGGTGCCTTATCAGAGGCACACGAGGGTTAAGGTACCAAATCCTGTCTGCATAGACGGGGAAGGGTGCATAATCATCTGTAGTATGGAGTAACAGAAATGTTCCAAGGTTCAGCCCCTGTTACAATGGGAATGGACTCGTACATGGCTTTGGTGAGACCCCTGGCTGGTACCTAAAGAAGAGGTTGTCTTCTATCTGTGACCTTCGCACGAAACTTGCGTATGACCACAGTTAAACCCCCGGCCTCACGGGATACGGCGGTCGGACGGCAGCGTATAAGCTTGAGGACGCTGTGATTATGCTGAAAAGTCCCTCGAATGTGTGACTAGTGGCGGATGGGAACGGGTAGTGAATCGGTTGCTCCTACTCGAGTAGGCTTTGCACGTAGGTGTAGGCTGAGCTCGATCGGAGGCTTTTACCGTAGGCGGTACTCCTCTAGGGGGTGGTTAGCAATTCCACTTTAAACAAAACCGCGGCCGGAGCGGATCCGGTAGTTTCTACGCTGGGGAAGCCCCAATACTCTGAGAGGTAGAGTGGCCTTCTCTACCTAAGGAGTGTGCGGGAGACCAGGCTGAGGTATTTCAGCTTAAGTAGCCCTTTGCGCGCGGCATACGGTCTGATGATTAATGCAGACCCGACCACGCGGAATGGGCAAGCGGGGAGCGAGGTGATCTCGGCCCCTCGGGGCTGAGCTGCCTCTACACCAATGATGCTGCAGTAACACCATTCTGTCGTATGTGGAGGTGCAATCAGCTCTCATCTTGAGAATCAAAACGTCCGATAGGGCTAGGTGCGGACGTTAAAGATCCTCATTGTCCTTTTATAGACGACCGAGTATACGGGAAAGCATGGTCGAATATTCCGGCTGGTTGGCACCGATTCGAGTATTATAAAGGAAGTAGACAATGGCTTAAGCCTAATCTTGTCTAATCCGGGATTGAAGCAATAATCGACCTAGCATGATTGATTTCAATCTTAACTTAATATTTTAAAATATTAAAAAGAATTACCAATTATTAACAATTATGCAATTTATATTTAGTGGTCTATTGACCAAATTACTTCTTTCAATAACTAATCTTTTTATGTAAGCTTTGGGTAGAAAAGAAAAAGCTAGTACCACGAACGGGATTCGAACCCACAATCTTCCGCTAAATATGGAACTGCTCTACCACTTGAGATATCACGATAAGCGGCGTATTTAGCCGAAGGTGGTGGGGTTCAACCAAAACCTTACATAAAAAGATTAATTAGTTGCTTATTATGTTTTAAGACGAGTTTCGGCCTTTTTCATGTAGTATTTTCCTACTAAATTTTCTTTTCTATCAATAATAATACCATAACGTAGCAATGTCAAGCTATATTATTACCGATTTATATTGAGTCTCGATGTAAGAAATGGCTCTTCTCTTTGTGTAAAAAGGATTTCCTTCGGCTTTGGGCATTGCACTGCTTCGCAGACAATAGTGCTCAACCTTGAAAACAGTTAAACAACACTCTCTTTACTGTCGATTACTCATTCAAAAACCTCTTTGTTTTCCACCATAAAGTACCCTAGGAAATCTCTCAGTAACTCAATTATAAATAAATGTGAGATGAAAAGTTCAGACGATCTCCTATGATAAAGAAATTACGGTATGTTATGAAGCCCAAATGCGTCTAAGAACCAAACTCACCATATGTAATCAGTAATGATAAGTCTGCAGAGAAAATTATCTGTTGGAAAGCAGTCCAGTTCGAACAGTCGAAGATATTTTTTTTCACGCGTGCTAACACGAAAACGTTTCCAGCTCCCTTAGCGGGAATTTAAAATGGCATAGCGATAGTTCGTGCAGTTCGATTGAAATGCGAACTATGGGGTCATTTACGACGTTCGGCGTGTTATTACTGGATCTCGAAAATGACCTTGTCGAGGATGAGAGAGAGAGAGAGAGAGTGAGTGAGAGAGAGAGATAGTAAGACAGAGACAGACAGACATACAGATTGATGGACACATGAGAAAGATATTGAGATTAATCGATTGATTAATGTTTGATTTGTAGTTTAGTTGGTTGTTTTCGTGTAATAAATAACTCATATCGGAACTGTTTCATTTAAAAATGTCTCAAATAATTTTTAATGGGGTAAGTTTAACTTTTATTCCTCAGTATTTGAACAAGTACGTTGATAAGATTTAATGCTATATTTATTTTTCATAAACAACTCTCACTTAGCAGCTAATTGAAAGTAGGAATAACTTGACACTGAAGTAATTTCTAACATACAGGAAGGCTTAACGTCCAAAAACCCGCCATGGGTCAAACCACTTTTCATATTATTTTCAATTCAAAAGCGTCATGGGCTATGCCGGGATTCACACACAGGAATAATATTTATTTTTTCTGTCTAATTCTGGAATCCCACTAAAATAAATTTATTACCTACTTTATTTTATCGTGAAGAATTTGCCCTTTCTGTATCCGAAAGATAGCAGATGTGATGGGGCAACAGGAGAGGGAGGAAGGATGATTTATTACAACGTCGTTTCAGATTATGCCGAATTCATTACCTACGATTATCTCTAATGGTATTGCAAAGATAATCAACGCTGACGAGACATCCAACAAGGATTGTAATTACAAGAATAAATTCGGCGGCATCGCGCAAGTGGTTTGCCATTAAAATAAAAAACAAGGTTCTTATGAAAAATAAATTATTTACTCAATGAAAAAGAAAATAAATGTTTTACCACTTTCATGGTTTTTTTATTTAAACAACCCGTAGTAACAAGGGTATGTCAAAGAAACGTTTTGAATAAAGCGATCACGTGTGAGGCTAAGCCGGACTATAAACCCAGAGGAAAAGAGAACAGCTGGTATACTAACAATAAGTCAAAACGCTGGGATATCTTCTTTAATCCATCAAGACCTTTTAGAACCCTTCAGGGGGAAAAAAGGACAACTGTTGTTGCTTAAAAAAAGCAATAAGTGAAGTGAGTAAATAAAGAATTCAGCCATGCTTAAAATTAGGATTTACAGATTTTTAGCTCAATATAGTCGTTTACAGATGACTCAGTGAAGAGGGTGCTGGAAGAAAATTGGTCGTATGCGGTCTGTACAGCCTCGCTTTTTTTGTCATTTGTACACACTCAAAGACGCACTTTTCTCTTCCTACCATCAATCTCTTTCCCTTCCTCTCACTCCTGTTTATTTCACGTCTCATTCTAACCTATCTATCTTATGTAAATACGTACCTACGTACGTACGTATCTATCCTTCCTTCTTCTTCTGACTGACAGACATATTTTCTGTTAATGATTCTATCTCTATTTATTTATTATGTTCGACCTCTTTCTCATTCTTATCTTTATTTATCTATCAATTCTCTATCTCTCTTTTTCCTTCTCTTTCTCTATCTCATGCTCTCTCTCTCTCTCTTTCTTTCTCTCTCTCTCTCCCTCTCTCTCTCCCTCTCTCTCTCTCTCTCTCTCTCTCTCTCTGACCATGTATTTCTTTCTTTCTCCCGTCTTCTCGCTCTAATTCTATCCATTTAGCAGTTGCAATCTCTCTCTCCGTCTCCATCTATTTATCTTTTGCGGCACACTCCCTCACACACACACACACTCTCTCTCTCTCTCTCTCTCTCTCTCTCTCTCCCTTTCTCTCTCTCCCTCCCTCTCTCTCTCTCTCCCTCTCTCTCTCTCTCTCTCTCTCTCTCTCTCTCTCTCTCTCTCTCTCTCTCTGTTCATCTAATTATCTCGTTCTACTCCCATCCAGCTACAACTATTTATCTTTTCCGTACTCTCTCCCTTCCTCTCACTCTCTCTCTCTATCTCTCTCTCTCTCTCTCTCTTTCCTCCTCTCCCACTCGCCTCCCTCTCCCCTTTATCAATATGCTATTATTTTAAGATTTATATTGAATTTACAACGAATAAGGAATTTTTGTTTATATCTTATTACCCCCTTTATTCCATAGAAAGTGTTAACCAAAACATTTTTGATAACAACCTATTGTGAGAAATATGAATAACAATCAACTTATAATAATATAGTTCTTTAATGAATTTTTAAATGGTAATTTTATATTTCGTTGACATAAGTAGTGAAGCGGGGAGTCAGATAGCACTAAATAGATTTTTAAATAAAATTTCTTTTTTGGAGAATCGTTATTGGTGGAACTTCAATTACTCCTGTATGGAATAAGGCTGAAGATGGTCACAATGTAAGCGAAAAGCTTTCCAAATAAAATAAAGTTTAAATCAAAGGCTTCATTGATATTTAAATTTTGATAAAACTCATAATACTGCCGTATGTAATTCTTGAAATTATCTACATGCAATTAAAAGAAAAAGCTGCGAGGATTTACTTTTAAACAAAGATTGCTGGAAAAAAACAACTTAAAAAAAAATACTATAATAGAACAAATATTCTCTATTCTCTCTCTCTCTCTCTCTCTCTCTCTCTCTCTCTAACTCTCTCATTTTCCCTCTCACTTATCCTCTCCCATCTCTCCTCACCTTTCACTCACCCACTTACACAAACTTATAAACGATGTTTTTTTTTAGGTGAGTGTCCAAACAACACAGATCTGACGTTTTCGAAGGCTGCAGGATTCAAACCTCGTCTTCCTTACCAGCCGACCCTCCTCTACGCGTCGTCGTACGGCTCCGCAGTCACGGCGGAATGCTACAACAGGTAAATTGCGAAAATCGGTGAATAGGGCACACACCACACAACTGACCTACCATTTCCCCGTTCCAGATGCCGAAACTCTTCGGATTGTTTTGGCTTCGTATTGGTGTACGCGACCGCCTCATGCTACAGGGTCGGCTACGACGCCACTGACCCAAAGTTTGGACTGATTCCCGACGAAGGTGTCACTTTCTTTTCGAAAATATGCCTGCCCGGTAAGTTAGAAATATGCACAATTACTATTTAAACTTTTTTTTTTGTTTTACAACTGCATTCTTCGACGCAACAAGTAAAACATATAATATTTACATATAAACATATTAACGGTAGCATGAAAGCTTGAACATCAATACGATGAGCGAGATGTACTCCGTCCTAGGAGACAGTTAAGAGTTCAAGTTGTCGCGGGGCCACCGACGCTTCAGTCTTCTGTTGGGATTATTAGGTAATGTGGTGGATGACAGGTTTTTTACGAAAGGGTTCGAGTGATGGGGTAGTTTGGAATGGAGCGTTTTGTAGCGGGATTGGGCTAGCTCGGTAACAAGAGGGACATTTAGGTCGTTATGGATGGTGTGATTGGATACATAGAAAGGGGCGTTGACTAATGTTCTGAGAATTTTGGATTGAAGGGATTGGATTCGTTTGAGGTTGGAACGCTTAGCAGTCCCGTAAAGTCCAAGTCCGTATGGGGGACCCGGAGGGCAATGTTAAGTTTTCTTTTGTTTCTTAGTAAAAGTTTCGATCGTCTGTCGAGTAGTCGTTTAAGCATGAAAACTCGTATTTTACAGTCTGTGCGCTTATATCGTGTGTAGGAGTTCCACGTCAGTCGTTTGTCAAGGTAGAGTCCGATTTATCGTACAGGGTTCGCAATTGGGATGGGAACGTTGTTGAGGTATACTGGTGGGAGCGTTTTCATGTTTAGGGTAAATATTATGTTTGTTGATTTGGTTTCGTTGATCTTGATTCTCCACTTGCGGAGCCAGCATACTAGGATGTTTAGGTGATTTTGAAGATCACGGGAAGCTGTGACAGGATCTTTATTAGGAGAAAGGATTGCGGTATCATCGGCAAAGATGAAGGTGATAGTGTTAGGTTGCGTAGGTTGGTCGGAGGTATAAATTGAGTAAAGGAAAGGAGCGAGCACGATGCCCTGTGGGACATCTGCTAGAATAGGATGGATAGTAGGCAGTGAATTTCTGTGGGATACTTGGAAGTAACGATATTTTAGTATAAGGTAATAGGTTGCTGGTAGGATGTTCTTGAGCTTCCACAGCAGCCCAGAGTGCCATACTCAGTCAAAGGCCAAGAACAACTCAAGGGTTGTGGAAATAACGTCGATTATGTTGTATTGTATAAATTGGTGATGGGGAATTGAGTTTGCAGGAATTTCCTTGGACAAGGGGATCAGTAGGAGTTTTTCCAATATTTTGCCAATAATGGGCAAAAGACTGATGGGTCGGTAGGAACTAGGAAGGTGAATTTTTATTTAGCGTGCAAAAATTACTAATTTATTCATTATAAATTGTACTATTTTTTATTTTCTTTTGAAACAAAGCTGAACGTCTCTGACGCAACATTTTCGCCACTTTAATTTCAGCGTGTATATTGAAATTTTAATCTGCCGACGAGTATATTTGCAATTCCACCATTTTTTTACAGTTTCCTTTATTTAGAACTTTATTTAAAAATCGTTACACCAAATGTAGAAGATGGAAAACTCTCGACACCCAAAGGGTAGTTGGACGTAAAGCCACTAACGTATTCAATGTTTGAAAACAGTTTAATGTTAAAGTCACAATTAACGATCTTTGTCGAAGTCGTGTACGATAATTATAAACGCCTTGACATCGATCACACGTTTTATTATTCCCCGTATTGCCATCTCCGACCTCGAAATTCGATTTAACGTCAAAAACCTTTTGGAAGTTTGAAAAGAGGAACAAGCCGCGACCTTGCTTCGCGGACGGCGTTTGTTCGCGAAAGTTGCAAAACCCGTTTAATCTTTCAATTGTTTTCAACGTCGCGATAATTAGCGTGAAATATTTAAAAACCGAGTTTAGCCAGGATACGGTAATTGTTTGTTATTTGTTCAACTTAAGTCGTGCATAATTTGAAAAAGAAGGAGAAAATCGTCCACGTCCTTGGACGACTTTTTCCCCACTCCTGGATCTCTTTCGGCAGAAGTAATAACCCTATTATTGGGGGCGTCGGTGGCCGCAACGGTTTAGGCGTTGACACGGCGCTCATCACTGTAAGGTAAAGGTCCCGGGATCGAATCCAGCGGCCCGACATTCGAACCCGACATACTTACAAAAAAAAAAAACACCGGCACCCCGAGGGTTGATATAACCTCTGCTGTTGCGAACCCTCGTAAAAAAATCCTATTTAATTATTTTGATTAGTTATCTATTTATTATTAATTATTATTTCCAATTTTTATTCAAAAACGGTTGGGAAGAAAAATCATTGTCTCTTTCTTCTCAACCGTCTTTTCATAAAAATTGGTATCATTTGATAAACGGAAAATTGAACTGTGATAAGGACACAAAACGTCTCCAACTTTTTCGCTTCTGAGAAATAGGATAAAAAATATTACTTGTGTTTCTAATCACCCTTCGAATGACTTCCAAACACGAAATTCTTACTAGGCTGTGCTTTCAAAATCCTTTTGTTTTGCTTAGAAATATTCTGAGCACGTTGATTTTATAAAACAATGGAAGAAAGCAATAGGAATCGTAATAAACATCTAAAAGGCTTTGGTTATGTATACGGAATGATAATCATAATTTCGAAATCATATTTACTGCCCGAAAAAGCTCAAAAACGTTCATACACACAGTTTGACAAAAACAATATAAATATCCTCCTAAGCTCATATGCTCAACGTCAAATAAATGTCAAAGGTGCTTTCAAAATATTTGAAACAATCTGACAAATTCGACAAAAAGTCATTTTTGGTTTTTAATGATTTCGCACGTTTTATACCATATTTATACTATAATATTTATCTGTTTTTATTCTTATAAATCATCAAATTTTAAATTAACATAAAACAAAATTAAATTAAAAAAATAAAAATAAAATATATATGTACTTATACAACTAAAAAAATTGGCAACATGTCACCTGCTGGACACACCAGGCACCGACGTAATTTTCTTAGTTCTACATAATTTTTGTTTGATGTTAATAAATTAATATGAGATTACTTTACTTACTAAGAATTGATTTTACTTAATTTTAATATCTTTTTGCCTTTTTATTTATTACAATTAATTAAGGTTTTTAGTTGAGATAAAAAACCTTAATTAATTGTAATATATTAATTGGTCAAGCGGACAACGAAATTAGTGAATTTTTTATTTATGTTAAATTACATGCTTTTTAAAAGTGTTAAATATAGTTCACTAGTTTTCGTGGTCCGCTTGACCAATTAATATCTATCAATTAATTAAGGTTTTTAGTTGAGATAAAAAAGTCAGTGTCACGAGCGGGATTCGAACCCACGACCTTCGGCTAGATACGCCACTGCTCTACCACTTGAGCTATCACGACCGGAGGGAAAATTCAAAAGGTGGGGTTGAGATGGTAAGTTAGTGTCCGAGTGGATCGAGGTCGTGATAGCTCAAGTGGTAGAGCACCGGCGTATCTAGCCGAAGGTCGTGGGTTCGATTCCCGCTCGTGACACTGACTTTTTAATCTCAACTAAAAACCTTAATTAATTAAATATAGTGTTCCTATCTAATGCAGACAACGTTCACCTATCGGTTTCAGAGGTTTTTACTTCTTCCATTGACCCGAATATTTTTTTTACTGAAAAAATCCGACGGACGAGTAATATATCCAGCGAAAACTAAGAGTTCTGGAGAGCGACAATTTTTGCTGTGTCCCCAGTGAAATACGAGTCCTTGCATAACCATGGAAAAAATTTCATATTTTTAGAAATGTATAAATAGTCTATATTTTTAGTGGTCTTTCGTCGTTAAAATTAATTCTTCAAGCATGGATCGGTTCACCTTTTTTTTCAGCGTGTAATAATTCACAATACCCAAGTCACCAAAATTACAGACAAGTCGATCAAGTCTTTACATAAAGTACAATAGTAAAAGTTACTTAACTCATTAACTAATAAATTCCTAATAAGGATCACAGCTAAACCGAAAAAGCATTAGCAAATTTTCAGATTCTCGGGAAAACATTGAGTATCTATTCTTAGGTTAGTTTCATACGAGGCGGTTTTAGTTGATTCAATTGAGTTGCCTTGTTGATTCTCAACAGGGTAAAACAACAAATAAGCAGTGGGTTGAGTTAAAAATGGACTTCAATTTGTAATATAGGAAGAATCAAATTAAACATTGTAATTAAAATGTTTGCCAACAATTCATAAGTTATTCCAAGTTTTACTTCTTTCAATGATGTTCAATACACGTCTTTCTATTCAGAACTTGAGGGTGGGTACTGTTATAATTCTATCCATACCAGTTTTTGTGTTGTATCGTGGGAAGTCGAATCAGCACTACTATTCATGGAACCCTCCAGCGTGTGGGTTGAAGAAAGAGAGGGCGAGGAGTGAAAAAGTGTGTGTGTGTGTATATGTGTGAGAGTGAGAGAGAGAGAGAAAGAGAGAGAGAGAGAGAGAGAGAGAGAGAGAGAGAGATGAAGACGCTTATTAAATAATTGAATCACACAACAAATTCAATTATTTACTCAATAAAGGACATATTAGTAACTTGATATTTGGCCGAAAACGTCATTTTTCTTTTCTCGCATGGGTTCGTAACGTCATAACTCAAATATTGGCGGTATTGAACGGATGAGAAATTCCAAGAGGCAATATGATTTTTAAAAAATTTCTCTCGACCCTGCTGTAGTTCTCTTTATATAGTTGAGTTGGCAGAAAGTTAATACATTTATTTTGAAAACCCGTCGTTTGATGAATAGTCCAATTTTAATTTAAAAAAATGTTTTAATTACTAGTTTCTCAGAACTGCTCGAACATGGCGTGGAGCGTCGAGACCGCCCTGGGCTACGAGTTCCTCGGGCCACAACATACCATATTATCGAACGTCGAAGACAGGTACTTTTTAAATATTTCCTTTATTAATTTCAAGCATCACGATACAACTTTTTTCCCAGGTGGACTTGCATCAAAGAGTGCTTAATTCAGGCATACCGAGGCGAGCCATGCTTATCGGCCAACTTTTACCCAGCGACAAAAACGTGCACATTAAGCTCCTACGACCGATGGCTAAGCCCGGACATGTTTGTACCGAGCACACAACGATCAACCGAATACATCGACAATAACTGCCTACAAGGTAAAGTGTAACTTATCCGAAGCATTTTACAAACTGACCTGCGAGTCTATCATGTAAGATTTTGGTTGAGGTCATGTCTCAAATCAACTTATTCTGCGTACCATTGCTGGTTTTCTATTAGATATAAACTTCCTACCTTTAAAACGTACAAAGACGTTGGCTATGGACAAACACTTTTATATCGTCAAGACTGACCGTACCAGCGAGAATAGGCAGACCAGGATGGTTTGAAATGACGCAACTGGAGTTATTTATGTTCATCATGTATTAGTCATTTTCAAGCTTATTGCTGTTCGATTACTGTTTATACATAGTTTTAATACGCGCTAGTTACCGAGTTGTGATCATAACCAATCATTGATTGGTTGGATCAAACACTAGTCATGTTACCCCATACCCAGTTCAGTTGTCTCGTGCTTCTTTCAGAACTGCGAGCAACGTTCCTTAGGCAAAGTGTTTAGATTTATAAGATGCTTCTTTTCCACACGCTCGCTCCCTAATAGATTTGCTCCTATACAAACAACATACGAGCCCTGCACAAGTTGATAACCACTGGGCTCGGAACTGAAAGAATATCTGACTGTACATCGAGTACTTGCTCCCTCCGACGGTCACCTCGACAACGCAGTAAGGTTATGATACATTGAGCGGTAGTAAGCCTAGGTGGCACATCAGCTATCGGAGTGAATATGAGAATTTAAAAAAAAATTGCAAACGTCAACCCCCATTCTAAGAGAAGATTCAAAGAGAGGCACCCCCTCGATAAAATGGTGGAATTGGGCGGTCTAGTGCTTGGGCGGAGGAACTCACCTTTTCAGGTTTCGCTCCATTCCAGGCCACATCGCTTCCTTCAGTGAGCCGTTTATAACGGCTTCGCCACATTATTGGAGTCAGCTCCTGGTCAAGCAAGCCGGGTTACACGGGTTCCTCGGATCAACTATTGTAAACAGCGCAAGCTTCTCCCATCTGGTTACACAGGTTTCTATCTGCTCTTGCCTTGGCTATTGATTTTTACAGGGAAGATGTGTGTCTTTTTGCTCCCGAAGGTACCTTCTCAGTGGCCCCCCCGTGTAGGCTGAGGTCGCTTCTGATGCTCCAGATTGAAACGTAGTGAGCACTCTTCGCACGCTTTCTATATTGACCGAACCACCGTACACCTGCGAGGGAAGTACGGGAAGCAGGTGCGCCTAAGAAGATTGCGAAATGCCGAACCAACCCAGTGACGATAGGCGGCCAAATTTCAGGTTATCACCACGCAGTCAACACGTAGAAATCTCACAATACGAAATTCTATTTCTTTGTAATGTAGCAAAACTGACCACGCACAATCATTGTATTTTTATATTGATTCTCATTCTATACCTACAAGGAACTGGTCTCTTTGATATTGGAATTTTCAGAACTGACTATCACTAGCAAATAATTAATAGCCTCTTGATGTATTATTTTCTTCATTCCTGTCTAATTCTAGTTTTATTTTTTATAGTCAGCGCGGCTCCTTTATTTTTCAAGGCACACTGTGTAATTTTGTCTTGTTAATTTCTTAAACCGAAAATGGTCTATAATATAGATAATCTCTTATATCTTCTTTCATAGAATAGAAGATAATCATCTCAATTACATGCTAATTAATCAAGTCATTGTGTAATAATCATTAGTCACTTTTTTTTAGTTATTTTAATATTAATTATTATACTACTCTCATACAGTTAGACAGAATTAGAATTAGTTCATATTGAACATTTTATTTTGTTTTTTGTTCCGGTCATATTGTTTTCTAGATTTTACCCGCGACTACGCGAGACTCTATTTTGATGTACTTGTCTAATGCGATGCGGAGTGCTAGTATGGCTTTCTAATATGATGTCTCGTTTCACAAATTCTTCTCTTCTTACTTCACTTCGGTCTACATATGGTAAAAAAATGTCCTTGTTATCCCTTAGGAATGGAATTTCAAAAACCAATTTCTTAGCGGGTATCCTGCCGTTATAGGAATGCACAGTCTAAATTTCAACCATTTAGAACCAGAGGTTTGGTTGTGCGTTGTCTGTCAGTCAATTTTATATATATATATATATATATATATATATATAATAGTTTAAAAACAACTGGTATATTATTTTAATTTGTGACCTATCCGAGATTTCAGTCAGAATCCTTGAGGACATTAACAAACTCTGTATACTGAATTTGGGTTTTCGATCCACATTGAAACATGAGATGAAACATCCCCCTAGGACTCTTTTCCATTAAGCCTGAAAGGCAATTCGAAACTTTTCCCGTTGAACGTTCTCCTGTTTTCATGGGATCTTAGCAGATCGGTAGGGCAGCTTTGTGTACACAGCTCCACTCGAAAAACAACAGGATTCCCCTTTCAACAAAAACTTATCCATCGCGGGAAAGATAACAAGATTAAAAAAATCCCTTAGCAATAATATAAACAGGCGTAGTATTAAAAAAATTTCAATTACAGAGCTGAATAGAAAAGTTTGCTGGCAGCTTCCGACGTACAACACGACTTCTCTGAGGGCCGATGCTCAAGTCGAAGGACTGGACGTCGAAGGGGTGGGTGACAGACATATACATACGGCACGTCGGATGAAAAATAATAACTTATATCTAGTGCAGGAAAAAATGCGAGGACGAAGATAAATTCAAGTGCAGAGCGTTCTCTCATCTGAACAAAACCGTTCCTTCCTGCATCCTTCATTCGGACAAGGCTCTCATCGATCCTGGCCCGATCATCTACCCTTCGCTCACGCCGACTATCGGAGGACTTTACATTGAAATGATCAGCTGCGTAAATCGTAAGTGTTTTTGCTTATGTCTTTATATTCACACGTTGCTCATTATTATTACAATTTGACTTTAATAAATTAGATGATGATTAATCAATAGTATGGTTTCAAATGTTCGATGTTCCACCGCTAACACTAACCAAAAATTGTATCTGCATTAAGTAAACTTGAAATCATTGTCAGTAATTAACAACCACGACCAGATTAACTGCACTATTAATACAACTATGGTTTTCTTTACAGATTAAATTGTTCATAACTGTTACCTCCTTCAAGGAAATCATAAAACAAACTAGTAATAAAAAGTTAGTGAAATAATATAAAATTTGATCAATACTGACAATGTTTTTAAATTTGTTAAATATTGCGATGACCACTGATAACAAATAACTTAAACATATGATTAATCACTTTATTATTAACCAGAGGTGGATTTGCAGACTATACTTCTCAGAAAATAGCAGTAAATCTTAGAAAAAGGTTAAAACCACAAAAAAATTCCTTATAAGATCATTGAGCCAAGGAGCCCTTATAGTGAAAGTCAAATCCAAAATAGTCAGTGAATGCATTCAAAATCTCAAAAATGTGGGAAAACATAATAACCTGACAATATTTTGGGTCTGTAGGACCAGAACCTATAATTGGGATAACAAGAACAAACAGAATTCTCCACATCAAAATGGGTCCATACCATAAAAGGAGAAATGAACCAACTCTACAGGTGTCAGACATAATAAACTCATTGTTAAGGAACCTTAGCCAAAACTGGCAATCAATGCGACAGCTGGACAGGGTAAAATTCAGGGTGATTTTCAATCCAACCCCTATTGTAGGTTGGCAATGACGAGAACGTGACTACGATTCACATTTCTCTAAACGCTTAATCCTTAAACCTCCAATGACCTACTACTTCTTAACAGAAGAATTAACTCAAGTGAATTGGGCTAAGAAAAAGATTAATAGGAAGGCTGCAGTCCTTGGAGAATACCAAACCACCGCTTCCTAGTATCCTCAACATCATCATCACCGACATCATCTTTTTTGGTGGAAATATTTAGTAATAAAAACAAAGAAAAATACTCTCCATCATAGAATCTTTTAATACAATCCCAGCGTAACCATTTCTTTGTTTAACTGTACAATCGTGTTGTGGGCATTATTGCACTCTCCCTTGAGCAGCATGTCGTCCTTCCTAGATGTCAAACACGCTGGCAAGTGGGTTTGCTTTGGCAATTCAACAGCATCCTACTCTTTACACGTTTCTTCATCTTCAAGTCCTCCATGGCCGAAGGATCACTCACTCTCTTCTGTACAGGCATCCCTCGGTCTGTTACTGTACTCAGACCATTCGCTAATGATGCTGCCCTTTCTAACCTCCACATCCGAGCCGATTGTAACGGAATCCTCCAACACCTACATTCTCTAGAACTGTGTGTGTTTTTTAGTGAACGGTTGTTTAATAATTCGTTGGAGTTGTGTTTTCTTGACCGCTACTCACGAATCCAACATATTATACTCTAGAACAATGGTTCAAAAATGGTGAATAAAACACAACACCACAAAGTCCCAAAATGTAACCTTCTCCCATGGTGGCAACACTCTACCTCCAATCTTTTATAACCGCACTCAGCTACCTATCGAAACTTCATTCGCTACCTCGGACTGTATTAAACACGTGACTAACTTGAAATACCCATACAGGATTCAAAGGACAGAACAGAAACGACGATACAAATTAGTTAGAAGACTACTAGATAACTCTCTCGACAAAAAAATACTCAATACAACGAAACCTTTCAAATCCGCAGAATCCAGACGCTACAATGCATGTGCTATGTGATCTATGTGACTTATTTACACGTACTCTCTGCAAGATCTTTTTGATGTGAAGCTAATAAAATTAAGTCGTGAGGATGTTTTACATGGCACAAACGAAATGTAGATGGGATTAAAGTACATGCAATATGGAATACATAAATATACTAACCATTAGTTTCGTATATTCACTTGTTAACCAAACAAGAGTAATGAAGAACATAATGCAAAATTAATCATTACTGCTCTGTTGATGTTATTCTCGACTTTTAGTGACAGTAAGCTGTAACAAAGACATGATGACGGTAACACTGGGATCGAAGAACTTCAAAGGCGTTCTGTCAGTGAGAGGTTATTCCAGTGTGTGCTCCACATCTGGAAAGGGGGACGACACGACAAGCCTCGTTATCCCGTTGCCAAAGGACAAAGACAACAAATGCAACGTTAACATGGCGTATTCCATAGGCGACGTAAACAGGTAAAATGTAGTAAGAAAAATAAAGTTTTTTAACTGTTCTTACTTCTTATTTTCAGGACTTTGGTGTCGGCAGTAGTCGTCGTCCAGTATCACGAACTGATTCAGAGATCTGGCGATAGAATTGTGAAAGCCAGCTGCCTCCTGAGCGACACAGACGGCTCAGATGAAAAGAATGTCACTCTTGGAACAGGCTACGCCGTACAAAGCCCTGGGTATGTTCTATACTATCCTTTAATATATAAAGTTTTTCAAAATTATTTTTAAAGCGTGCAAAGCGAAGTGTCCGGTACGAGCGGCACCCCGGCGTCCTCTCCTCGGGCCAAGATGTCGTTGATCGACGCAAGAACAGGACGGCAAGTGACCGACGTGAAACTTGGAGATCCTCTAATTCTCAGAATTGAACTTCAAAAACCATACAGTAAGCTTTATTTATATGGACAACTCCGTCTCATTGACCTCGAGCCTGTTTACAGATGTTTCGAACGTTCACGTTGGACATCTAGTCGCCAGCTCGGGCGACAAGCTAGAGTCGCTTCTCCTGCTGGACTGGAACGGCTGTCCACCTGATCCTACAGTTTTCCCGGCTCTTTCCAAAACGTCAAACAGCACCCTGGAGGCGCCTTTTAAGTCGTTTAGATTTCAATCTACCCAGCTACTCAGTCTGGCCGTCGTCTTAACTTTCTGTAAAAACTCATGCCCACCGGTATGAGATCCCTTACGCTTATAAAGTTTCTAATTCTTCTTCTAAACCAAAAATCGCACTTTAGGTTGACTGTGGTAACGGCGTTGTTTCATACGGAAGGAGGAGACGGGACGCAGAAGAATTTTCAGACACCCCACTTGAATTGTCAATAATGTTTCATGTGCAGGATAATGCAAATACGACATCAAGTCCTATACTCCAAGCTTCTTCCTTAGGTAATAAATCTTATTACATCTTAACACGGTACAATTTACATAATTAATAATTAGTTTGGCAATAAAAGATAAAAAAAAATTGAGGTCTAATCAACGTGTATCTTCTCTATCTTCTTTCCCATAACATTAAAGAGAAATGAAGAGAGAGGGAGGTAGGAAGAGAGATATGGGTAGGTACAGGAGAAAGCAGAAAAGTGGGTATGTGTATGAGAAGGGTGGAAGAGAGAGAGAGAGAAGAAAAGAGAAGAGAAGAGAGAGAGAGAGAAGAGAGCGAGAGAGATAGAGAGAGGGATCAAAGAGCGAGAATGGGAAAAAGAGAAAATGAAACTACTATTAAAGAATAAAGACATCAAAAGGTGAGAGACAGAGGGGGGAAGGAGATATAGAGAAAAAGAGAGAGAGAGAGAGATCAAAGAGCGAGAATGGGAAAAAGAGAGAATGAAAGTACTATTAGAGAATAAAGACAACAAAAGGTGAGAGAGAGAGAGAGAGAGAGAGAGAGAGAGAGAGAAAGAGAGAGAGAGTGAGATATATATATATATATATGTATACATATATAGAGAGAGACAGACAGACAGAGACAGATATATATATATATATATATAGAGAGAGAGAGATAGATAGATAGAGATAGAGAGAGAGAGAGAAATAGAGAGAAGGAGAGAGAGAGAGAGAGATCAAAGAGCGAGAATGGGAAAAAGAGTGAGAAAGAGAAAGAGAAGGAGATATAGAGAAAAAGAGAGAGAAGGAGAGAGAGAGAGAGAGAGAGAGAGAGAGAGAGAGAGAGATCAAAGAACGAGAATGGGAAAAAGAGAGAATGCAAGTACTATTAGAGAAAAGACATCAGAAGGTGAGCGAGTGAGAGACAGAGATATAAAGAGAGAGTGAAAAGTGATAGGGATAGATAGAGGGAATGGAAGAGTGGGCGAGTGAGTAAATTGCCAATATTGACTACAACGGCATGGAGAGAAAGCAAAGAAAAATACAATAAAGGAGAAAGAAAGAAAGAGAAAGAGTGAGGTAGGGACTGTGAGTGAGAGCAGAGAAAGAGTGGGTGAAAGGAAGAGAAGTAGACTAATACAGTGGGGAACAGAGATTGAGACACAGGGTATGAAAAAAACGAAATGAAAATAAAGAGGAAATTTATGAAAACAGAGTTTAATATGTGAGAAGAGAGAGTATGTGTGTATGTGCTTGTGTGAGATTAAGTATGTTAAAATCAAGTGTGTTTAAGAGGAAAGTTATTAGAACTGTGGACTTGAGTCGTCAACAAGATAACAGCCATAGTCGATAACCATAATAACATAATAACCATAACATCACATTAGCATAATGCTTATTTGTTACCAAATCTAAACTGTAGTCTACACACTGGCGTCTTTAGCTTAGTTATTTTCAACATGCAACTTTTATTTGCTTGCAGAGTGGAACGAGGCTGGAACAGAAAGGCTAATCTGCACAAATTTTGTTACCGCGGCCATACTCGCGCTGTTCTGGCTGCTCCTCCAGTGCAGCATCCTCGCCGTTTGTTGCTGCGTCCTCCAGAAGAGGAAGGAGGAGCACGCCGACACCATATCACTGAGCAGAGACTTCCATCCTCAGAGGCACGTCACTTTCGTGGATGAAATCGAGTACGTTAATAATAACAAAAAATTAAAAAAACAAAACAAAAAAAGTCAAAATCGAGGCTTTTCTTTTATATTTAGGAATATTTTTTTTTTTGGTTATCTCACTGCTCGTTCAAGTAGGTGTGTGCTTTTTAAGAACCCATATTTATGGATTGTGTATCATTTGCAAAACGTCACCGCTGTTTTATTGAATTTTCCAACATCACAGATAAATGTAAAAGCCGGTTCTTAGGGGCAGCCGGAGCCACGAAATTCCGTTTATCGGCCCCCACCAGAAATTCCTTATACCTCGAGCATGTCCAAATTATTGACCTGGGTTGAATGTGGGCCTTTTCCTCTAGGGATTGACTTACTTCATCTTAATTAATTATCCAATGGAATTTTTCGTCAGGTCATCATATACTCCAGAATACGCTGTATTAGTCGTTTCTGCACTATGACCTGACCTTGCTCAAAATTCCATCAGGTCGAAACGTCCAATATTTAACACTTTTAAATCAATAATAAAAATTGTCGATGTTTAACCAAGTAAACCGTTATAATAAAAAAATATAAAAACTTACAAGAAATTGTTGTTTGTTTAGTGAGCCAGTGAAAGGGTTAAGGCTGTCAACACCAATGAAGAATAGACTTAAATAGATCTTAAAAGGTGAGTACTGTGTGTGAAAATATGTAATGTGAACTTTTGCAACTGGCAAAAATAAAATTGGTAATACCATTTGTTATATTTATAATTGAAGAATTATTTAAACATTCAAAAAGAAATGTTATATTAACTATTTCATATATCAAATAATTATCTGGTTCTATCAAGGCTAATTTAATTTAATAAAGGCAAGATCGTCTATTCTGTAGTCTCTCTTGTTTGTAGTAAGACCAAAAATGATCGTAAACGACCATGTTACAGGTACTCAAGGAGAAATTAATGCTGTCGAACATAAATGGTCATTTAGAGAATATTACATCTCGATATTGATTATCAAGAGGAAAACATCAATGTTTTAATGCTCTCAAACATCGATGATCATCTCAGACTTGAGATCGATGATCAAACATGGAATGTCTAGTCCAAACACTGATGTTTTGGTATTATAAAAAGCAAAGTCAAAAGTCGATATTTCGATACTATCACGCATCCAACTGCAGTACATAAATAAAAAAATAAATATAAAGTACTATCAAGCATATATTTTGATACTATGTAACATCAAGAGAAAAACAGAATTTTGGTACTGTCATACAAGCAGAACATCGATTTGTTGGCATTTTCATGTTTGGTTTTTTCGATATTTTGATGCTATCAAACATCGATGGCTATTCCTAGAATGGTGGATAGATATTGATGATCAAATATCACAAATGATAATCAGAGAAAACATTGATATTTTGGTTTTACTGCACACGGATTGCTCAGAATAGATTTTTTATATCATCGATCAGCAAGAACAAAAGATATTATTTTAGTGCTATCGAATAGCAATTAATCATTTCCTGTATCAGGCTTGTGCATCAATTCCTTGGATCGGACACCTTGATATCAATTATCAATATTAACACTATCGATAATCAACAGCAAAATATCGATATTTGGGTCTGACATACATGAACTGCATTGATTTGGTTATGCTATCAGATATCGATGACTATTACTAGTATCGGACAGCTCGATATCGATTATCAAAAATGACAAAACTAACGATCATCAACAAAAATGGATATGTGGGTTCTTTCGTAGTTGAATAACAAAGTATCGATGTTTTGATGCTGTCGATGGCTATTCCTAGTATCGGACACCTCGATATCAATTATCAAATATTACAACACTATCGATAGTCAACAGGAAAATATCGATATTTGGGTTTTGACATACATGAACTGCAAAGCATTGGTTTGGTTATGCTATCAGATATCGATAACTATTACTAGTATCGGATAGCTCGATATCGATTATCAAAAATTACAAAACTAAGATCATCAACAAAAATAGATATGTGGGTTCTTTCGTACTTGAATAACAAAGTATCGATGTTTTCATGCTGTCGATGGCTATTCCTAGTATCGGACACCTCGATATCAATTATCAAATATTACAACACTATCGATAGTCAACAGCAAAATATCGATATTTGGGTTTTGACATACATGAACTGCAAACCATTGGTTTGGTTATGCTATCAGATATCGATGACTATTACTAGTATCGGATAGCTCGATATCGATTATCAAAAATGACAAAACTAATGATCATCAACAAAAATAGATATGTGGGTTCTTTCGTACTTGAATAACAAAGCATCGATGTTTTGATGCTGTCGATGACTATTTCTAATATCACACATCTCAATAGCAATTATCAGATGTAACAATACAATTGATAATCAAGAGCAGATCAACGATTTTTCGATACTATCGGACAAAGATGGCTAATCTAGTATCGGACACCTTGATTTCAATCATCAAATATCTCTAATCAAGAGCAAAACATCGATATTTTGGTAAATCGCCCGTAAAAACAAAGAATCAATTATTCGATAGTATTGAGCATTGATGGTTTCTTGCTATCCGGACATTGATGACAGCATCGGTGAATTTATTATGTATGACTTTCTAATGTAAACAAGTTTCAATTAATTAAGGTTTTTAGTTGAGACAAAAAAGTGAATGTCAAGAGCGGGATTCGAACCCACGATCTTCGGCTAGGTACGCCGCTACTCTACCACCTGAGCTATCGTGACTTCGATCCACTCGGACACTAACTTCTCATCTCAACCCCACCTTATGAGTTTTCCCTCCTTTTTGCCATTTTTCAAATGTCGTGGGTGTCAAATGAAATGGGATCGAAGTCAAGATAGCTCAGGTGGTAGAGTAGCGGCGTATCTAGCCGAAGATCTTGGGTTCGAATCCCGCTCTTGACATTCACTTTTTTATCTCAATTAAAAACATTAATTAATTGAAAGATATTAATTGGCCAAGCGGACCACGAAAACTAGTGAATTTAATAAGTTAAAATGGAGTATACTTCACTAAAGCTCTCCGTGGCCAATTCATTTGTCGCCGAGAATCAAACAGATTTACACGACATTTGAAAAATGGCAAAAAGGAGGGAAAATTCAAAAGGTGGGGTTGAGATGGGAAGTTAGTGTCCGAGCGAATGGAAGTCAAGATAGCTCAGGTGGTAGAGTAGCGGCGTATCTAGCCGATAGATTAATTAAGGTTGTGGGTTCGAATCCCACTCGTGACATTGATTTTTTTATCTCAACTAAAAACCTTAATTAATTGAAAGATATTAATTGGTAGAACGGACCACGAAAACTAGTGGAATTTAAATATGTTTGAATACGGATTGGTAAATACAACGTAACTTTACAACACGTTCACTAGATACATCAAAATGTTGATTCGGTTTTCGAATAACGGTCGATAAATAAAACAGTCTCAGCACACATGCTTCTCCCAAATAAAAGCCGTCGTGTTTCCACCCGCTTACAATTAGTGCTAATGTATGTATACAGAGTTGAGAACACTTATTATGCAGATGGGCAAATAACTATTTGTTCATACCGGAGTTGGGCTGTGCGGGACCAGGGTTGATAAACTGTTGTTGCAGTTTGATCAATACAATATCTCTGAGCTTGCCTAGTTTCGCTAATTTAATCTAGCCTTGGTCGGAGTTGCGAGCACTCGCAGACCCAGAAGCGATCGGTCAAACGGCTAAAACGTTGCTTTTCCACTCTATTCTAGATGCATTTTTTCCATATTATAGTCTCAGAAACAAAAATAAAAACACTTGTATTTTATATTTTATTATGTACTATATGTATTTTATCGTTATATTAATTATAACTTAACTATTATATACTTATTTTAATATAAACATTATGAGTTGTAATAAAAATTATTTAATTATGACGGTTTGAACGAAAATTCACCGAAACATTGGAAAATCATTTAGTAATAGATCATTTATATAACTATTCGTTACCTGGTATCTCTTCTGATCAGGCAGAGTCTCCTAGGCATCGAGTAAATAAACAACCGGATTTCGTCTTGTGAAATTCATTCTTCAACAAGAACGGTTTGAAGATGTTAACGGAGAACTTGTATAACCCGTCTCTTTACTATATCCCATAATTATTCTATGGGATTCATGTCAGGAGAACATGCTGGCCAAATCAATGTGGTAATCCCTACATTTACCAAGTAATGGGTGACAACTCGAGCTAGATGCGATCGAGCATTATCGTGCATTAACACGAAGTGGAACCCAATAAATGGAGTGAACGGGACCACAGCTTCAAGAAGAACTTCCTCAATGGAGCTTAGAGCAGTTAAAGATCCATTCTGTATGAATCAGTTTTGTATCGGCATGGACATTGATTCCTCCCCACACCATAACCGACAGTGTTTGAAAAGATTGTGACACGCATGGCACATGAAGCAAAGCATACGTCTTCTCCACACGATCAGGTAATCTGATTGCCACAAACAAACCGGCACTCATATGTGAAGAGAACACCCAAAAGAGATGCTGATTTGCGCGTAGTCGCTTTTCTACTCGGTGCTTCTCCAGTGTAGAGAACCTGACGTCTCATGAAACTTCTGATGACTGATTTAGAGCTCAGCCTTACATTACGGACCATTTGGAATTGACTACCTACTAGGGATGCCGTTAAATGACGGTTCTGTAGTGCGATAATGGCAATAAAACAATCGTCTTTAGTCGACTTAACGTTCGACCACTAACTACTTCACTTCGACCAAGACTTCGGCGGCCGTAAACCGCTTAGTCCACCGTGGACCAACGCTACACATTCGGGAGTTGAGCCATGTAACGGAAGCTGTTGGGTTGGTGCAAAATTAATGCAGATTTTGAAAATTTCGTTTTATTTTCGCAGGTGCTTGTCGTGTAAATAAAGCTAAATCTAATTTATGTATTATAATAAATACTTGTACAAACATTTTAGTTAATATTGCACTTAATAAGAGATAGGACCTGCGAAATTAAATATATCTCAACTAGATTTTCGTCAAATCTATTTATATTTGGGCGAAGTATGGCCCAGGCCGAGCATCGTCGATACAGTTTAGAGGGAGGGAAGCATTAGCGAATGCACAGTGCAGCCGGTAGGCCTTCTTGTGGACGACGACGACCCAAAACGTTGATTGAAGAAAATTCTCGTAAGACAACGGCAAATTGTGGAAGAGCTTAGTGTTGACCACTCAACAATTGTTCGCCATTTGGAGCAAATTAGTAAAGTAAAGAGGATATACAATTGGGTACCACAAGAACTAATCGAACCCCAAAGAAATTGACGCGTTGGGCCACCAAAATGATTCATTTCTCGATCGGAAGGGCAATGAGAAGTGGATTCTGTACGATAACAGGCGTGTCAATGTTGGACAAGGATAAATCGCCAATACACTTCCCGAAACCAAATCTGCACTCAAAAAGGTTATAGTGTCTGTTTGGTGGTGTACTGGAGTTGTTCTCTATAGTTTTCTAATTATGGTGAAACTATCACAGCCAAAAAATTGACAAAATGCACGGGAAACTGCAACGTCTTTGTCCAGTAAGGGGTCAATTCCTCTTTACGATAACGGCAGGAGGCCAAACGTCGCACTGCGGAAACTTAAGAACTTAGGATATGAAACCTTACCGCATCCTCCGTAATCATCTGACCTCTCGCTTACAGACTTCCACGTTTTTAGGTATTTTGATCACTTGTTGAGCGATAAATTTTTTTGAGAACGCGATAAAGCCGAAAACGCCTTCTAGATTTTATTATTTATTCATTCATTATTATTTTTTTTTGTACGGCGGTACGCAACGTATGTCGGGTTCGAACCCAGGACCTCACAGTGATGAGCGCCGTGTCAACGCCTAAACGTTGCGGCCTCCGACGCCCCAAGACTTTATTATTGTGAGAGGAAATAGAAAATTTTTTATACCAGCAGAATAAAAGTACTTCTATTACAAGTTGGCAAAGATGTATAGATTGTGATGGAAAATACTTGGTTTAAATTTTCTTTAATTTATAAAAATTAAAAATAGCCTTATTCAATTCACTAGTTTTTGTGGTCCGCTTGACCAATCAATATTTTTCAATTAATTAAAGTTTTTAGTTGATAATTATACAGAAATCGTGAGATGCGGTCTGGTGTGATGTAGGTTTCAGAAAAACATTTTCTTTATCGTGCCAACGTTTCGATCTTTATTGAGATCATCTTCAGGGCTCAAAGTGTTTGTCTTCTTTGTAATTGTGCCATTCTTGCGTGTCGTGTTGAGAGTGCCAAAGTGAGAGTATTACACAGAAGACAAACACTTTGAGCCCTGAAGATGATCTCAATAAAGATCGAAACGTTGGCACGATAAAGAAAATGTTTTTCTGAAACCACATCACACCAGGCCGCATCTCACGATTTCTGAATAATTATCGATTAACGGTCACTAATCACCACACGTTTTTAGTTGAGATAAAAAAGTCAATGTCACGAGCGGGATTCGAACCCACGACCTTCGGCTAGATACGCCGCTGCTCTACCACTTGAGCTATCGTGACTGCGATCCACTCGGACACCAACTTCCCTTCTCAACACCGTGGGTTCGAATCCCGCTCGTGACATTGACTTTTTTATCTCAACTAAAAACCTTAATTAATTGAAAGAATTAAAAATAGCTTTGACTGCTTTTTCAAAACCTGCATTGTTTTTGCTCCAGCCCAATACGTCCTTCGTTGGCCAGCAAAGCAACCCGGGGCACAATCTTTTCTACGTAAAACCATGCTTTTAAGAAAAAAAATTTTTTTTTGCTTAAATTTATTGTTTCACCAAAAAATAAATAAAAAATTAACTCACATAACAAGTTGGCTCTAAAAAGTATGAAATTGAACAGATTTTCATTAACCAACTTTATAGATTTAAAAGATTTTCTTTATTTTTGATCCAAAGTGTGTAAAAGGATCGATCAGTAGCAAGAAATATTGCCTTTACGTTTTAAGCCAACTTACATCAATTCCTAAATCATCGTTATATCTAGTTATTATGGAAAATAAACAAAAATATACAAGGATCTGGTTATTTTTGTCTTTGAGCGTATAATTTTCATCTTTTACCAGCATTTTGTTTAAAAATTTTAATTATGTTTTAACAAGCATTAAAGTAATGTTAGGTTTATTTCTTTTTCAGGTTTGCGTAGCAATTTGGCTCTCTTCCCACTGCCAATCGAACTAAAAAAAAAAGAAAATTATCTTCGTTACCATTAAAATTAATTATCGTTTTTCCTTCTAAGATTACATATAAATTCAGCTTTAATAAAATAGAGTTTGTTAATAAAACTTTTTGTTTTTATTTTCAAGACCTAAGATTGTTTCAATCCAAATGTTAATAAATGACGAAATGTGGATAGAAATCGGTACGATCGGCGACGGTCATGATTAGGATCGTTCCTCAGCAAATTGCCGATGTTATTGTTCACATGATCGATGCTGTCATACACGCGAACTCATAAAAGGAAATGAGTAGTAACGAACTGTCTGATCTGGATCGCTTACTAAAAAGGTTAAAGGTGAACTGAAATCCATCGAGCAGACCCGACAGACACTCAGAACCTCACGCAGCGGAAAAGGTACATAGGGTACTTCGGACGATTAGGTCCTGCAGGCATTAACAATCAAAAATGGTTCGCAATCGGGTTTATTTGTCGAAATGATCGAAGGTCGACAGTTGAAAAAGTACCTAATCATTCTTCGGTCAGATTTTACGTTTTTTGTTTAAAGGTGCATTTAAACTTCTGGAGGAACAGGTAGATAATGGAGGATCAGGAAAAGAGATGGGTAACGAATAATTAAGAACTCTAAAAACAATTTTTTCAATAAATTTACCGCGGAAGTACCCCATCAATCTTAAATTAGAGAAATTGGTGTACGTGTTATTGTGTAGTTCAATTCAAGTTTAAAATGTGGGGGAAACACACAGATCAACCTTAGACGAAATGCTGATTGACGAATATAGCAAGAATGTCATTCCAGGTGAACTTGGATGACCGAGCTGCCGATTCAACACCATACAACTCTTGACAAAATATGACGCCTGTTTTATAGACTGACGAACCTGAATGTGTGGAAAGTTCGGGGTTACAGTTATTCAGACGTACCTTGAAAGTGTCATCAGCTAGGAACCAATTCGTGTTGAAATTGGATATCCGTTTTGTGTATAAGGTAGGATTTTAAAGGGCGGGTTATACAGACAAATTATTTAGTAACAGTTTAAGTGATTAAAGTTACCAATGTGAGCCCCAGATGCGTTAACTTCTCTAATCCCCTTATTCCATAGTTAATAAAAGCGAACTGCAATTAATTTAATTGGTAATTTAATCAACTCTTTTTAAAATAGGGGATGACTGTTTTTGAAAGTTTACTTTCCAGTTCTTTGTGTTTACAGTTAGGCAATAGTTGAAACAATTGAGTAGAATTCCCTTAGTGGCATTGCTTGAATTCGGTACAAATTACGTCTTTCACCCGCGACAAATTTTTTACATTTATTGTATTATTTTATGCAGTAAATTGTACAACACGTTAAAGCAGGTTATTCAATAGCATTTTAGGCATTGCCCGTTGTATGACATTCCTCGCTAGCGGTGAACAATAAATCAAAAAATTAGTCGCAATGCATAGATTTGGTACAAATTATAATAGCCTGTAATCGCCTGACAAACTGTACATTTATGTCTGTTTTATGTAGTACTTTGATAGTACAGTCAACAATTGGTAGAATCTTTTACTCTTTCACGAATTATGGTGGTGTGGAGTCGAGGAAAATTTGTTTTCTTTGAGACCTCTCTGACATAGATAGATAGATAAGTAGATAGATAGATAGATAGATAGAGATAGATAGATAGATAGAGATAGATAGATAGATAGATAGATAGATAGATAGATAGATAGATAGAAAGAGAGAGAGAGAGAGAGAGATCAAAGAGCGAGAATGGAAAATGAAATAGCNATAGAGAGAGATTGAGCAGGGGGAGAGAGAGCAAGCGAGAGTGAGAGAGAGAGAGTGAGAGAGAGAGTGAGAGAGAGAGAGTGAGAGAGTGAGAGAGAGTGAGTGAGAGAGAGAGAGTGAGCGAGGGAGAAGGAGAGAGAGAGGTGGTAGTAAATTTACTGGCATTGCATGAATTTGGTACAAATTGTAAGTCTATCTCCCTGACGAACTATGTACGTGTGTAACATTTTTATGTTGAACCTTGCATACAGTCAACAATTGTTTAGAAAATTTAGAGGCATGGATGAATGCAGTATAATTACAACTGCTTAAAAGACAATGGTTGCGATAGAATTTGTTTTTATGGTTTTAGTTCGTGATTCTCTGGTCGTTCTAAGCCCTTTTATGTAGTCGGCACTATACAGGGTGATGACCGAGGGTACGAAAATAGTCCTTGAGAGTGGCGCAAAACGTGGAAGGGCGAGGAGGTCAGTACATGAATGGAATGCGGCCCAGAAATTCGATGGAGGGTGGCGCCTGGTGGGGGGTTGGTGGGGGCCACGGCGGTCCTTCGCTCCTCGCTGTTCATCAGTGTACGCTTCTGCCGGAGTCGTTGTTACACCTCGCGCAAGTGCGTGACCGCGTTGCCGCCCTTCGCCGCCGCGCGCAACACGCGCGTGTCAATTCTCTGCTACGTGATTCTGCACCAACAAAGCAAAACAGTTGGAGGACCGGGCCGAGCCCGATCTCGACATGTGAACGTACAGATTTAACTTTCTGTGTGAGTAGCAAGTTCTATTGTTTACAATGTTATCACGCACGTGTCCATTTAGCACTATTATTCGTTTATCGCGTATTGATAAAAATTGTCAGTCAATCAAAATAAAACAGTTGAAAAAACAACAAAAAAAACTAACGGTCGCTTTGTTTACTTGATCCAAATACAATAAAATATTGAAAAATAAGTTACATAAAAATCCAATTTGATTAAAAACGGCAAATATACAATCATTGCATCAATCATATGAAAATGTGCTTCACCAAAAATTAATAACAAAACATAAACATCAACAGCATGCACGTAAACAGAAACATTTACCTCCTATCCCCTCCAAAAGTGAGGTGGGTCTTTTATCCAGTCGCCATATTGGTCCCCCCTTGTCAAAAGTGCTGAACGAATAGTTCATTGAAACTAAAAAATATTCCTCTAGAATTTAATACTGTTCATTCAAGTCGGTTGTATACGACCTTAAACGGAAAATATAATTTTTAACTAGGGAGAATTTTGACAAACTCGATCAGGTTGAACACGTGCAAATAGAGCACATGCTTGCAAATAACGTTTAAATCCCATCAGAGAATGAAATGTTTCAAATCAAATAGAAGCTACCAAAAATGAAGTACAGTAAAAAACAAATCAATTTAATTCATAATATTATGACATATTCAACAGCGAGTACGTAAACCCTAACGCACTTAATAATAGAAGAGGGCATTTGCTCTGGTATGATGCCATATTCTTGTCACAACGTGGTAAAAATCATACTATTTAAAAAAATTCTTTCTCTAGTATTTTATAACTCTTAATGAAGTAAATTATATATTAGCGGAAAATACACTTTTTGAATGTTAAGAAACATGTAAAAACCTAACCTGCCTGTCAGAAACATATTTTTATTCAATTCAATTCGTAGCATTATGTAATGTGCAAACACGTGAAACCTGATATAAGCTACCAAAAAGACCTAACAGTCAGTGCCAAATCTTAATTCAATTTAATTCATCACATTGCGACATATGCAACAGCGTGTATGTAAACCGAAACGTATTTAATAACAGATAGGGCTTTTGATCTAGTATGATGCCATATTGGTCACTCCCTTATAAAAACGTGTAGTTAATGATTATTTGGAATCGTGAGTTGCGGTCTGGTGTGACGTAGGTTTAGAAAAACATTTTCTGTATCGTGCCAACGTTTCGATCTTTATCGAGATCATCTTCAGGGCCTGGGTTTTACAAACATTTTTTAAATTATACAAATACATGTATGATGTGAAAAAAAATGAATTTATACAACGATAGAAATTTTGGACTCAAAGTGTTTGTACTTCAAGCTTCAAGCTTGTGGTACTTCAAGTACTACTTAATAGAAGATGAAATTAAATGTTAGAAATATTTTCATTCATTTCAATCCTGTCAGGATTTTATATGATATGTCGCAGTTGAAAGTTGATTTTTAACTAAACGTCAATGTTAAAATAGCAAGTATTTCGGACGGGCGCCATATCGATAAACCCATATCAACTAACGTTAAATATTAAGGACAAACACTTTGATTGAGTAGAAATACTTTGATTGAATATATAAAAAATATATTTTGCATTGTATAAATTCACTTTTCCACATCCAAAATGTAATTGTAATATATAAACAATGTTTGTAAATCCCAGGCCCTGAAGATGATCTCAATAAAGATCGAAACGTTGGCACGAGAAAGAAAATGTTTTTCTGAAACCTACATCACACCTGACCGCATCTCACGATTTCTAAATAAATAAATATTAAGGTTAATATAAAAATACGCTTTAATACCCTTAGGTGACATTTCAATAAGTATATGCTTTATACCGCTTCGTCGCCATATTGATCACCCCCTTGCTTTGAAAGAATATAACATATTTTTTAGTTTATTTAAAAAAGAAAAAGTGAGTGTAAAAAAAGTTAGTCTTTTCCTTCCAAAATATATTTTTTTAATGATGATCGCCATATTGCTATACCCTTTAGATATTTGCCAATTTTACTACAATTATCAACCATCTCTAATATTTTCGTTAACATAAAAATACTATTTATTACCGTTAGATAATATTTCTGTAGGTTAGTTATTTATTGGCTTTATCTCGATACGGCGCCATAATGGCTCTTGCTTGAGAATATGATTTTGGGAGCTTTAACTTGTTATCAAAAACACTTAATATAAAAACAAATATATTATATTAAATTTACTGGATTAAATGTTAAGTGAAGACAGGCATTATCCAGGTGTAATGCCATATTGGTCACCCCCTTGCTTAGCTAGAATGCAACATTAGGATGAAAAATACTATTTTAATATTTTAAAATTGTTTTGAGCAATTATTCAAAATGCAATATCAAGGCAAATATCATACTTTTAGTAAAGATTGATAAAAAGAATTTATCTATCCAGATGCGTTGCCATATGGGTCAACCCCCTTGCTTTGCGAGAATGTAACATCACGCTGAAAAATACCTACTTACTTTATATAAAAGATCTGAAGAAATACAAAAATAGAGGCTCTAAATTTTAAGATTTAATAACACTGTAAAAGTTCGAGTCAGCCTTTCCACAAATATATTGGCTACCCCATTGCTTTTTGAAAATGTAATTTAATATTAAAAAAAATCTTTTGTAACGATTAAAATGATCTAAATAGAGGCTAAAAGGAGCAGTACGTGAAATGTACGTCTATATATAATACATCAACGATCTTGATGCACATAAAGGTAAACTATTATTATTTAAAAACTACTGTTTTCCATGTCAGTTTCATAATAAATAATCAATCCATCAAGCAAATTTATAGAGTATAACATAATAATAATTTTTTTTTAAAGGAATTATTTTTCACCGAGTGGTGAAACAACATCTCATCATAAGTAAAATACAATTCTGCTAGGAAGTAATTGATCAGGCCTGGTATCGGTTTTATATTGACAATATTTTTTCGGTTGAGATATGAAGTGTGTTATTTCGGGAAAAAATTATCTCCAATTTGGCAATAATGAGGAAGAGGTTTTGGATTGTTTTGGGGTAGGGCGTTTGATTAAAAACTGGAACGGTTTTTAAACAGTGTTTTAATGTTTAAATCGTAAATTATTTACGGGGGTCAGTTTAATAAACAACGCAATTTTCTTAAATAATGTAGTAATAAACTACATAATCTGTTTTCTCTTGGTAAAATGTTTTTGCCTTGTAAAATTGAGAGACTGGAACGTGAAGACTTTTCTAAATATTTTCGTCCTCAAGGCAAACACGGCCTTGGGAATGCCCTTCTTGAACCAAAACTATTAGTAATGCTATTATCTAAAGGACCAAGGGAGAAAACAAGCTCAGCAGCAATTTCACGCGATGATTGAAAAAAAAAAAATCTGGACCCCCGGGTCGACATCTCATCGATTTCCAGTTCATACCCGAAAGGCAGAAGTAATTTACAACTAATTTCATTACCGACACCGGTTTGGCTCCGCCTGGTCTCGCCGTTCTTTGTTCAATGCACAGTTGGACTTTTAGAAGTTGGTGAACTTATCCGGCGATCAAACTGTAACGGTTCGGAAACTCTTAAGCTACCCTGCCGTAATTTTATTATTAGTAAAGCTCGTTAAAAAGCTGACCTTTCCTAACGATTTCGAGCCTTATTTAAAGCAGAAGAGTATTCGGTGTAGAAAATAACCCGGCAAATCTGACCATAACATGACGTAATAAAAAAATGTATTATTTTATAACTGAATGTGCATTTCTGTCAAAAATATCGAGCACTAGACAAAACAAAAGACGAATCTGTCATCAAAACATCGAAGGAAAATAGTTACTACACTGGTTGATAAAAAATTATGGGTGCATTATTTTCACTCGGCTTATCTTCTATTACTATGACCGTTTGGCTTAACTCACAGGGAGCTGAAATGATTGTCTGCAATCAGTATAAGGCGATAACTAGCTTCTGCGTTCATAACATAAGGGTAAAATATCTAGGTGAGTTTATTTGATGCCGAATTTCAAGAGGGCTTGGTTATTCCAAAACTGGTATTTTAACCTGTCAAATGTGGCCAAATTGAATCTTGATCGCTGTAATTTTTTTAAATATATATATATTTTTTGTGGACTTCGATTTTACCCAGTTCGACAGCAGTCGGAAAAGGAAAGAACTGTTTGGTTTTTTTTTAGGAAGTTGGGTGCGAATGCAACTTTTCCTGCCCAATTTTATTTGCATTGTTTTTAGATGGTCTTATTTCAGTTCTAGAGTTTGGTATAGGGATTTGCAGCACTGTAATAAAGTACTATTTGTGGGGATATTATAATTTATTATTGTTGTAAGAAAAAGATTATAGCTCTTGAATTTCTTCCACACAATAATCTTGATAATTGGCCAATGTATTTCACCACATTAACCCAAACAGTAATGGTAGTCCACGAGGAAAGTACGTGGGTTCATCGATTGTAATGAAACTTTTTTATATGATATGTACTAGTTCGAAAAATATTCTACACGTTGCCGAGCTTTCTTGCCAATGGCCATAGGAGCCTAGAATTAAAAAAAGTAAATTACATAGTTTTTTAAATATATTTTTCTTTTCTTGTTGTGCATGTATTGCAAGTTAATTATATATCATTCAGTATGCTATTTTACCTAGGATTAGAAAATAATATGTAGTAGTATTACATGAGATTAGATGAAAAGTTACAAACACAAAAACATGCTTCTAGTAAAGTAGGCAAAAAAAAATTGTAAGAAAAAGTTTCGGATTCGTTTCCCTTCAAAGGCCCATAAATACGAATTTTTATTGTAAACAAATATAGATAATTTTGGGCTCGATTAGCTCGAAGTTGTTGTTTTTAACCGGTGTCCTGTTGTTCCGTTTATAAGAACACAACTCCTACGGATTTTATCCAATGTCCACCGTATTACCTTTTGGAAAGTAGAATTTCCTTTGAGACTGTAACCTTTGGTTTTTATGAAATTAAAAGTGAGAAAAATAAAG